CCCCCTGGCCCCGTCTCCCCTGTCCCCGCCCCGCGGCCCCGCATCACCGCCCGCGTCCCCCGCCCCCCAGGTGCTGCTGCTTCTTCAAGAGGAGGAAGAGAAAATCGCTGCAGCGACACAAGTGAGGCTCCCGCCGTCCCCGGAGCCCCGGCCGCGTCCAGGAGGCCGCGGTGTCCTCGGCGCCATGGGCCCCTTGGCCCGACGTGAGGCGCCCTCCTCGGGGACTCGGGGTCACTTCCTTCACACAGGACTTGGGCGGAAATGTCTGCGCCCCCGCGGCGCCCCCTTGGAGAGCACTAACTATTTAATAACCCCGGGAGAGAGGCGTCCCGCCGCCCCCGCTGCGCCCCCGTTAGCTCATAAAGTCCAGCTTGTCCCCTCGATCCAAAGGCCGTTTTCTCGAGGGGGGCAGGCCCGGGGCGTGGGTGTCACGGGAGGCCACCCAAGGGGAGGTGCGTGCGCTGCCACAATGCTGCACCAAAGCCGGGGGCGGGCGGTCACCGCGCAGGGACTGGCCTGGCCCGCGGAGCCAGGGCCGCCGTGGTCCCTTCGTGCTGGGCCCGCGGGACAGAATCGCCTTAATGCCCGGCCCGGGCAGCAGAGAGGCGGTCCCCACGGGAGGGCCCGGCCGGGCCGCGGGAGCCGAGTTCTTGCTTTACAACGTGTACAGAAATGAACTTATGTTTCTCCGGCGCTTCCTTGAAGCCATAGAGTTTAGGGGCTTTTTTTAAAAAAAATAAAAGAAAACGAAACCATCTCCGAGCATGGGCCTGGTCTGCAATCCTTAAGATATTCGGGTCTTGGAGCTGGAGAGACGGCTCAGGGGTTAAGAGCACTCCTGCTCTTCCAGAGGTCCTGAGTTCAGTTCCCAGCAACCACATGGTGGCTCACAACCATCTGTGTTGAGATCTGGCGCCCTCTTCTGGCCTGCAGGAGAACACTCATTGTGTGCACAATAAATCTAAGGGGCCCAGCTGGCTCACGGGATCCTCGAGGAGCTGAGCACTCTCTGATCCTGGGTGGAAGAGGTTGTGATGATCTGCGGGCGGGGGCAGGAAGGCTGGTGCTCCCAAACCTGAGGGACCCAGCAGTCCCCCAAAAGGCGGACAGGGCAGGGGTGTGCAAAGGGCCCCTGCAGACTCAAAGCCCACCTCGGGTCAGGAGTCCACAGCTGCCCTGTTGCAGAACCAAAGGCTGGGGGGGGGGGGGGCTGCTGCGCCTGGGAAGCTGGGGGTGTGGGTGGCAAGGTGAGCCTGCTGCCTGCTGGGACATTTCCCTTTGCACTCCTGGGGACAGATCCCAGGGCTTCATGTTTGAACTCACGGAGATCCCCCTGCCGCTGCCTCCCAAACGCGGGATTAAAGGTGTCCTCACCACTGCTCACGAAAGACTGGTTTTATTACCTTAAATCGTGCATTTGTGTGCGCAGTGCAGAGCCCAGACTCGGTGGAAGCAGCTGAGCTCAGGTGGCCGACACCCAGCACGGGTGCTGGGAACCCAGGTTCTCTGCAAGAGCCGCAGGGACGCCATCCTAATCACGAACCATCTCTCCAGGGCCCCGTTTTTGTTTTGAAACAGGGTGTCATGTATCCCAGGCTAGCCCAGGATTGCAGACCTCCAGCCTCTGCCTTCTAGGGGCTGAGACGGCAGGTCCCTTCTCAGGGCCTTGGCTCTTGTTTTTCGGGGACACTGTGAAAGTGTTCTTGGGGAGCAGCGTGGGCGCCCGGGCGCCTACCTCACCGACACATGGCGCTCAGAGGATACGGCACTCAGCTCAAGGTGGACGCTTCTTTCCTTTATTTAAAAAAAAAAACTGGGGACACAGTGTGGAGGGCTCACCTCCCATGGCTTTGGGGAGGACACGGGTTCCGGGCAGGAGTCACAGGTACGCAGACATGAGGGGAGGGACCCCAGACAGGGGACGGTGCCTCCTGGGGCATCACTGGACAGGGTTCCTGGTAGCCTTGGGGGCCAGGGCTGTGGTCTGCACAGGGGGGTTCTGTGGGGCCCTGGGTGCCACAGCAGGCCAGGTGGAGGCCCAGTGCATTTTGATGGGGCGGGGCCTGCTGCTGCTGCTGCCCTGCGCTCAGGCCTGAGCTCTGCTGGCCACACGCGGGAGGAGCTGGTCCAGAGCTGGCCAGGGATGGCCTCGCAGGGACAGTGGCCCACATGTCACCCACACGGGGGCGGACCTTCCAGCGAAGCCCACCAGCCCCAGCCAAGGCTGGTCAGAACTGACCCAGGCCCTGCACGTGCTCATGCCCAGGAGGCCGGGGCTTCGGGTCGGGCCCTGGAATCCCAGGGAGCAGCGGAGAACAGAGGACATGAAACCCAAACCACTGGCTGGAAGACAGGCCCGACCCGGGCTCCAGCCGAGGGTGGGCTCGAATGCATTGCAGTGTGCAGTTAAGAACGGCGGCGGCCGCAGGGCCCTGGGCTGCAGGGCCAGAGTGGGAACCCAGACTCCCAAACCACGGCCCTCAGCCCCAACATCTGTCCATCGGGGCCAGGCCCATCCGCCCCCAACACCGAGGGATTGTCTTGACGGCCCAGCCCACGGCCGACCCCTCCCCAGTGCCGTGGGACGGCGGCCACACTGTCGCTGTGGACACACGGCGGCCCCTTCCGCGATGACCGGGAGGGGCCGGGAGGCGGCCTGGGTGGCGAAGGCCTAGGTGTAGAAGATGACTTCGGGGATCTGCCCGTCCTCCACCGAGGTTCCGTTGTTGTTCCCCGCCGCGTAACAGAAGGTGAAGCAGGTCTTAGCCCCCGTGGTGGGCGACTCGTGGGTCACCTTGCGCAGGCCTTTGGTGCCATAGTGAGAGTCCGGGCCCTGGGGGGAGTGGGAGGCGGTGAGGTCAGGAAGCCAGGCCCCGAGGCGGGGGAGGGGGGCGCCCGCGGGGCCGGGTGGCCGGGGTGCAGTGCGGCCCACCTTGAGCGTGGCGCAGGCGGTGTAGTTGACATTGGGCAGGACCTCCACGGGCTCCTTGAACATGACGCGGAAGGTGCTGGCCGAGCCGTCACAGCTGAAGCCGGTGTCGTTCTGGCCCAGGACCGTGTTGCTGTCCGTGTGGATGATCTGGGGACAGA